GTAAGTTAAGATTTACTCTCACATTCCTTTATTATGTACAAATCTTTAACGAAACCTGTAATACTTATTGGTAATTACTAACAGAAGTTTATTACAAATTTTAGTGGACAAAACGATCAAGTAAAGTAGTTAAGAACTTCGGTGTTAGTTTATAGAAGAATAAGTATGACCAGAGCCGTCGTCTCCTCAACGTGACCCTATAATATAACTCTTTAATGGGAAAAGTTTATATTGAAAAAGTTATGGCAGAAATCTCCTTGGCAATAATTACTCTTGTTCTCGCGTGCTTGTTGTCGTTCGCCAGATCTTGCCTGGATTCATTTGTCCTAATCCTGGATTATTGTAGTTTAAGCGACGTAAACAAGCTTACTTTGGGGATAAAATCGATGAAATTGTCCATTTAAACGTATTAAACAACAATCTAATTCTCTTATATCGGTTTAAATCTCCTCTTACTTATAAAACAAGTGACTTCAGAAACTTTTTTATAAGGTACTTAAGACTTTCTAAACTATTTTCCGCTTGATTCAGTCCCGGTAGAAGTGAGGTTGACGTTAAACAGATGGCAATAAACCCGAACTACTGTTATTATTGCCTGAGTAACTGACAACGACTTATGCATTAAGAGTTATCATAGAGGCATCGGGCATCATACAGACAGGCATGATGGTAGGTGCATACTAATGGTACTACATCAATGACATTATTATTATCGTTTGACAGGTACTGGGGAACTCTCTCTCTACCCGAGTCTCTTTATGTTTCTCTGTCTCTAGCTTTCTATCTCTGTCTATTCTGCCTGTCTGTCTCTTTCTGTCCTTGTCTACATATCTCTGTCATTTTATCTCTCTCTCTCTCTCTCTCTCTCTCTCTCTCTCTCTCTCTCTCTCTCTTTCTTTCTCTCTCGTGGTCAAATATCACTTCCTCACCACCGTGTCCACAGATACACACTAACAATACAGTCTTCCCCAGCTGCAGTTATAATGGTAATAATATGTGTTCATGTGTCTCTATAGCTTAAATGAGGTGAGGTCAAAAGGTTTAGTCTAGATAACAATTGGGAGCCCAGGTGTGTGCTAATAGAGGGGTGCATCTTCCACTTCTGTAGTAGTGAATTTGTGTGAGAGAGAGAGAGAGAGATTCTTATTGTAGCTAAAATGCCAAAACAGAGCCAGGCACACACACACACACACACACACACACACACACACACACACACACACACACACACACACACTTACATACATACATGTACATACACGTTACACATGTTAACACGAGGTGCAATTTGCGCAATCTTGGAATCGGTGTCAAAATTATCCCACGTCATGAATCAACCTAACCTAACCCGACCTAACCCGACTTAAGCGTATTTTGGGTTACGTCGGTATTGTAAGGTTTAGTCGTTGTGTCGTATATTACTCTGGTCAGGATTACAACATAGCACAAGGTAATACTAGTGATAATATACACTGTACGCACAATATTCCTCCCGAGAAATACTGACCGGGTAATATTTAACTAACCAGTACCCCAGTCGACAATATTTCTTCCTCTAAAATTATTATAATCTGAATAAGAAAAAATTAAGGTGTGTGTTTAGCCAGATGGTGTGTTACCTTACGTCATAGTGAGGAAGACGGAGCCAGTTAACCTACCTATACACTTGTTACCTGTGTTCCTTACAGCAGGTGTGTGTGTGTGTTTGTGTGGGGAAGCCACATGTGTGAGGGGACGGACCAACCTGGACGTTGTGACACACACACGGAGGGAGAGTTGACACCGGTCTGCCGTGTGGAGGGGAGGGGGGGAGGGGGTAGAGGTAGGGGAGAGTTGCAACATTGAGCAGCCTCTACCCAGGTGTGTCGCCGGGCTGGGAGTCCACAGTATGAATGAACGTAAGCCTCTCTGGCATTGTTTACATCTCTCACTCAAGAACTAATGACTGAACATTTTAATATATTCGTTATTATGAAGCTTTATTAAACAATGGTGTATATTAACAAGTTATGTGAAAGTGATCTATGATTATAGTGATATTTAGTGACGTAATACTACACTACATGTTAGTGTGAGTTATAGTGTTCACTTTGACTGTATAAACATTAGATCCCTGTTTATATATATATATATATATATATATATATATATATATATATATATATATATATATACACTAGCAGAATCGCTGCCCTCCGGGCGGCTCATCCGCTAGGCCACGGTAGGATGATGTGTGATGATGGGTGGTGTTATATGTAGTGATGATGGATGAAGTTATATGTAGTGATGATGGGTGGTGTTATATGTAGTGATGATGGATGATGTTATATGTAGTGATGATGGATGGTGTTATATGTAGTGATGATGGATGATGTTACATGTAGTGATGATGGATGGTGTTATATGTAGTGATGATGGATGATGTTATATGTAGTGATGATGGATGATGTTATTTGTAGTGATGATGGATGTTGTTATATGTAGTGATGATGGGTGGTGTTATATGTAGTGATGATGGATGATGTTATATGTAGTTATGATGGATGGTGTTATATGTAGTGATGATGGATGATGTTACATGTAGTGATGATGGATGGTGTTATATGTAGTGATGATGGATGATGTTATATGTAGTGATGATGGATGATGTTATATGTAGTGATGATGGGTGATGTTATATGTAGTGATGATGGATGTTCTTATATGTAGTGATGATGGATGTTGTTATTTGTTGATATGTATGTGATGATGGATGATGTGATGATGATGTGATGATATATGTAGTGATGATGGATATGTAGTGATGATGGATATATGTAGTGATGATGGATGATGTTATATGTATGATGATGATGTTATATGTAGTGATGATGGATGATGTTATATGTATGATGATATGTAGTGATGGTGGTGTTATATGTAGTGATGATGGATGTTGTTATATGTAGTGATGATGGATGTTGTTATATGTAGTGATGATGGATGGTGTTATATGTAGTGATGATGGGTGGTGTTATATGTAGTGATGATGGATGATGTTATATGTAGTGATGATGGATGATGTTATATGTCGTGATGATGGGTGGTGTTATATGTAGTGATGATGGATGAGGTTATATGTAGTGGTGATGGATGTTGTTATATGTAGTGATGATGGGTGGTGTTATATGTAGTGATGATGGATGGTGTTATATGTAGTGATGATGGGCGGTGTTATATGTCGTGATGATGGATGATGTTATATGTAGTGGTGCTGGATGTTGTTATATGTAGTGATGATGGGTGGTGTTATATGTAGTGATGATGGGTGGTGTTATATGTAGTGATGATGGGTGGTTTTATATGTAGTGATGATGGATGATGTTATATGTAGTGATGATGGATGATGTTATATGTAGTGGTGATGGGTGGTGTTATATGTAGTGATGATGGGTGGTGTTATATGTAGTGATGATTACACAATAAAATAATAACAGTTTAATGCTAAAAGAAATATACTTTGCTGTACCGTTGTAGTGAAAACATTGTGGAACTTACATACACCGTTAATGAACTATTGATGGAAGAAGAAGTTTTGGGGACTGAACAGTGAGACAATGTGGAGCCTCCCGGAGGGTGGCGTCCTACCGTGGCCTATATATATATATATATTTATATATGTATATGTGTGTGTGTGTGTGTCTAAGTTGGTATCAGGAGTATCAAGTATTGTGTCAGAATTGAAGGTTCGTATTTTAAAGATAATTTTGTCTGGTGATGAAATTAAAAAAAAAATTGTGTAACATTATGAGTTGTTGTGAGAGACCGAGGAAGAGTAGGGGCTTGAAGAACAGGTTTAAGACCTGGTGAGGAATATGGTTTCCTTCCGCCCTCCCTTCCTTCCTTCCTCTCCTCCTTCCTCCTTCCTCCTTCCCTTCCTTCCTTCCTGCCGTCCTTCCTTCCCTTCCTTCCTTCCTTCCGCCCTCCCTTCCTTCCTTCCTCTCACCACCCTCCCTCCGACCCTCCCTCCTCCATTCCCTTACCTTCATTTTTGTTTTACTTTCGCAGATAAGAGAAAGTAGAAGAGCAATAATTATCACCAGTTAGAGAGAAAGGATGGGGAGGAGGAGGGCGGGAAGACTTGTTCCCTCCTCCTCTTCCTCTTCCTCCTCCTCCAGACAGGATTTTTTAAGACTCATTCATGACTCAACATTTTCTAGCTAATCTGTTTTCCCTCTTCTCTTGTTCTTTTCTTTATTATGTTCCTCTCTCTCTCTCTCTCTCTCTCTCTCTCTCTCTCTCTCTCTCTCTCTCTCTAAAAAAAAGAAAGAGGCTGAAAAAGAACAGAACATTACGTAGCCTCGAGTATAACAAACTTGATGAACAACAACCTGACTACAAGCATCACCTTCCCTCTCTTCCTTCCTCCCTCCCTCCTTCCCTCTCTTGTTTCCTTACCTCCTTCCCTCTCTTCCTTCCTCCCTCCCTCCTTCCCTCTCTTGCTTCCTCCTTCCCTCCCTTCCTCTGATCCTCCCATCAATAATAGTATATAATAACACAGGCTGAGGAATAAGACATTGTCAACTTGTTCTGGTCACTAAGACAAATCTCACGACCCATAATATCAAACCATTGACTTTTACCAGTAATAATAATAACTAACTTCCTTAACACAATTGACTAATAAAAATAAAGTTTGAATGTTAAAATGACACGGATGAAAATGAACCAAATGAATAAACTTTTAATTCTTGTGAACTTAGTCAACTTAACCCTGCGTTCTTAGGTTAGGTTAAGTTAGGCTTCATTGGGTTAGGCTAAATTAGGTTAGGTTAGGTTATATTAGGTAGGAAGCTTAGGTTTGGTAGGTTATGTTATGTGGTGTAATGGTCAACATTCTCGCCTCGCAAGCGAGAGGACCCGGTTTCGATCCCCGGGCAGGGTGAAACTATGGGCAAGTTTCTTTACGCTGTTTGCCTCTGTCTACCCAGCAGTAATTGGGGACCTGGATGTTAATCGAT